TGCTGGGAGCTGTGGCTGGAGCTGTGATGTGGGGGAGGAGGTGCTCAGGTGGGCAGGAGTGGGGTCTGAGTGTCTGTCCCACTGGGGGTTCAAGCCCAGGTACACGTGTGGTTCAAGCACCATCCCCACACCTGTGATGGCCAGTGTGGGGTTCTCTCTGCTCACATTTACTCTGTAATGAGGCCCGTGGGAAAATGAGGGACCACTTATGATATGGCGGCTCAGATCACCAAGCGCAAGTGGGAGGCGGCGGCGGGTTGGGCAGAGCTTGAGAAGAGCTACCTGGAGGGGGAGTGTGTGGACTCTCTGCTCATGTACCTGGAAAAAGGGAAGGAGACCCTGAAGCGCGCAGGTACGAGGGGCCTCGGGGGGCCGCCCCCTCTACCCGGGGCTGGGGTTCCTACAAGGAGACAGCGTGGGTCCAGTCCCCACACATGCACTTCCCTCAGGTTTTCTGATCCTGCCCTGGGTCTATACACATGGTTCTGGAAACTTCTGTGGCGTCCAGGACTAGGGCTTCCTTTAGGGCCTCATGGCTCTGCCTCCTCCCTGGTCTCTCACGGGATGTTTTCTTCCCACAGGTGGGAAAGGAGGGATCTACGCTCAGGCTGCCAGTGAGTATGGAGAGGAGACCCCTGAGGCCCTGTGACAGTGCAGATGAGAGCCATGGGGGGAACCCACTCCCCATATTTTCTCCTTGAATCTTCTGTCCTGGGTCTGACCCTCTCCTGGTGTGTCCCCCCCAGGCAATGACACCGCCCAGGGTTCTGATGTGTCTCTCTGGGCCTACACAGGGGAAACCCTACCGTGGGGAGGGGTGGGCAGAGGGGAGGACTGGGTGGTGGTGAGTCTGTGGGACGCTGTGAGCATGAAGTGGGCTTTGGGAATGTCACCAGTTATAGCCACTGACCTGAATCTGTTCATGATGATTGTCCTCCACAGCGTGAGGCAGCTGCTTTGTGGGGACTGAGTGATGGAAGATGTGTTCACGCTCCCACTTCCTGACTCAAGAACCTCTGATGGTGGCGGGCTGCCCCGCCCTGCTCCCCACACTTTCCTGCCAACAGAGGCGGGCTGGGCCCTCCCCATCCCTGCCTTTACTCCCTGGGGCTCTAGGCTGCCACTTCCTGCTCCTTATTGAAATGAGACTCTGATGTGACTTTGTTCATTGCTTGAGTTAATTAAAGGAGAAGATTCTAAAGTTTGAGAGGAAATGGATGGAAGCATGGAGAACTTTCCAAAAGCCATGTGTTTGCAGTGCTGAGCCTGTCCCAGGTGGGACGGGAGGGGCTGTGAGGACTGAGTGTGGTTGGGGCCTGTGCCTGGTCAGTGCTCAGAGCATCGTGGGCTTTGATGTGGTCACTCCTCATCTGGGTCACCTCTCTGCTCCTCTGTTCATATCCCTCAGTGGAATCCTGTCCCACCAGGACCTGTGGTCACAGGGATTCCCCTTCATTGTCCCACAGGCCCAGGGCTCCCTGCACACAGGAGTCTGTGGTGTGGGGAGATGCGTGTTCAGGCTCCTCCTGCTCCTGCCTCCTTCTAGGGCCCTGTTTTCCCCTGTCAGCCCCTCCCTGCTTCTCCTGAGGGGTCCTAGAACTCCTGGGTTCTTGAAATCACAGTTGAGATGATAAATATGTAGACATCATCAATAATGATCCTTATTCTGTAATCATTTCATCAATACCATTCATCATATAAAATTCACAACAATCAATGTGAAATGAATGCTGCTCTGGGAGATGTTAAAGTCAGTTTCTAATCTAAGGAGGTTAATAAAGTTACATGGAATTATTCAGGAAATACGTTTCCCTTTCAGCAGAGCAGCTGTTGAAACAAGTCTCTCTCTCTTTTTTAAGGAATATTGAATGTTTTATGTAAATTTTATCTCAGGGTGGATATGAGCAATACCCGCCTTCCATTGGCACATGTCTGATGTTAAACTTGGGTAACATCACTCCTGCGTGAGTGGAGAGTTTATTTTCTGCAGGAAAATAAACACATTGGAGAATGAAGGGTTGTTTTACCATTTTCTGTATGTTTATTCCATTCCTATTTCTGTGAGATTCTGGTGTGTTACAGAGAAAATTAAGGTAGGAGCTTGGTTTTCAGCGAGTTGCTTCTCACACCTGCATGTTTTTACCTGGTTGACCCTCTAATTTGGCGGATGGGAGGGATACACCCTGTGAGACAGTGTGGAAGGTGCTATGTATAGAGGTGCCACTTGGGTTTCTAGTTCGTTACTGAAATGTAGACACGGGGTTCTGCTCCCACTCGAGGTGCCACATGAGCTTTGCCATCTTGAGGTCCATCTCCGCGGCCATGGTCACTGTCCCCCTGGCCCGAGCCGGTGTCTCCACGGTGTGTCTCCCGCACAGTCACCCCCTGGCCTGCGACACCTTCTCCCCTGCAAGGCCTCCCCGTGAGATACCCTGAGACCAGAGGCCTCCACAGCACCCCGACGCTGGCGAACCCGTTACCACTGCCACCTGCTGCCCTCCATTTCTCTCTCTGTGTCCCTGCCTCAGGGGACGCTCACGTGGCTGACGCAGACCTGCCATGTCCTGCTTCCTGCCTCCTCGCTCTGTGTCCCTTGCTGCTGATTTTAAGGGTCATGGAGCGCCTGGGACCCTGTGCTGCTGGGCGTGACTATTGACGATCTAACCTGTGGATGGCAGTTGCTGTGATATTCACAGTGACGCTGCTCAGGGCTCCTCCGCGGGAGGCCAGTGTGGCCCAGGGAGCCCGCAGGAGCTTCTAGAAGGGCTGCAGGTATAACTGACAGGGACACCAGGAGGCTCAGGGGCACAGCGCGCTGCTCTGATGAGTTCCATCCATTCACAGTCATCCCTGCGCCGCCTAAGGGTGGTGACCCTCTGAGAAATGGGTGCTTCTGCGTCTTTGACAGTGTGCGAACATCAAGGGCCCTGACACCCAAATAGTCTAGCCCACTGCTGGGCGGGGGCTGCACGGGGGCTGAGCATGGACCCACGACCAGGAGGTCCCCAGCTAGATTCCCTGTTAGGTTCATGCAGGGGTTTCTGGACCCAACCCCAGTAGGGGGCTTGCAGGAGTCAGCCACTCCATGTTTCCATCTCTCTCTCTCCCCCTTACTCTCTCTAATAATCAATAAAAACATTTTTAAAACAAACAACAACAAAAAACTCAGCTCTCCTGATGCTCACAGTGTGACAGGAAGGATGGGGAATGATGGGAACGTGCACAGCAGTGACTCCCATGGGCTGTGCTCCCGCATCTGAGGCCGGGAAACCACATCCCACAGTCACAGCCTTTCCTCCTTTTCTGTGGGCTGACTGTGTTCAGCGGCCCCTCTTCTGCTCTGAGTGACACGGGCTGGGACAGGGTTATTGGAAACCCGGCTGGACCAGAACATTCTAGAGGGTCCCTGACGGGGCTACAGCTGGTGCTGGCTGCCGGCTGGGAGGTCCCTGGGCTGTGAGGAGAATGCTGCTCCCAGCTGGGCCCCTGGCTCCAGGCAGCGTGGGCCAAGGTCACAGGTAACACCCACAGGCCCTCATGTTAGACCCACACGCACCACTGTCAGAACCACAGAAGTCAGGCCCTGTCACCTCCGTCCTGTTCTGGTCTCCAGAGCTGGTCCCAGGTCCCAGGGGAGGGAGGCCCACCTGAGGGCAGGGGTGGGAGGACCCATCACAGAAGAACAAGTGGGCGGGGATAGTGTGGATTCATCTTTGGAAAAACAAAACCCAAAAACCTGCACAGTGAGTGGAAGTGAGAGAGGAGGAGAACATTATTTTAATTAAAATATTTAACTAATGACTGCAAAGGGGAGGAAGAGGCGCACTGTCAGCAGGAGGTGAGGGGGCACCCGGAGGGCATGTGCGGCCTGAGGAGGTGAGGGCTGAGCCAGGCGGGTGTGTGAGGGCAGAGCCTCCCAGGGCCGCCCTGTGCCCACAGCCAGGCTCTGAGGGGCAGGCACTGAGCTGGGCGGGAAGGGAGGGGCCGACTCTTTAGAAAGAGGCCAGGAGAGAGAGACAGGGAGAGAGACCCCTCTCCCGCTGGCCTTCTGCCCCTGATGGGGGGGGGGGGACCTGCTCCTGGGGGAGCCTGTCTTGGATCCTGTGCACTGTGGGGGACGGGTGGCGCCCCACCATCTGACCCCCAACTCGGGGCCACGACTGACAGGCTGATGGTCAGAGAGCCTGGGGGACGGTCCCCTGACACAGAGGCTGCTGCCCTGGCCGGGCCGCCCAGCGACTACAGCGCAACCCTCAGGCCACAGAGTCCTGGTTGCTGGTCCTGGGCAAGGGCCAAGCTGGACGCAGACTCCTCCCCGCGGGGGGCACCAGTTCCCACGACTCTCCTTCCTGGGGCCTTTCTGCCTCTCCCCTCCTCCTCCCTCCTCTCCTCCTCCTCCCTCTTGGCGTGTTACCAGCTCCTCCTCCCTCCCTCTCTGCAGCTTCTCCTCCCTCCATGTGTGCTCTCTAAGGAAGAGAGAAATTACTGGGTGAGCGTGTGTGCGTGTATGTGTGTGTGTCATCTCATGTGAGTGTCGCTCAGGTGCCTGTTGGGATGTGATCACACCTTCAGCGCCAATAAAGACAGGACAGAGCAGGGCGGGCTTTGGCCACAGCGCTCGCTTCCTCGCCGCCCATCCTCCC